CGCTCTTCGGATCTAGGGGTGTGTGGCCTGTGGGGGGTGGGCAGGCATGAGGGGAGGGCCGGCCGGCAGACCCTGGGCTCTCATTCCCCACTGTGGGGCAGGGATGGTCTCCAGGAGTGTGGAGGGGGTCAGGGGTGAGGGGAGGGTCAGCAGGACAGGGCTGTCTGCCCCGTGAGGCAATGGACTGCTAGGGGCTGGTGTCCAGGCAGTTGGGCGACTCGGGCTCAGCTGGGAGCAGGGCAGTGGACAGAGCAAGCCTGAACCTCGGCCAGCGAGAGGCCTTGTCAGGGCTGCTCCCACTCTGGCACTCCGAGTGCAGAAGGTGGGGGCCTGCACGAGACCGTAAAAGCCTCGTCTCTAGAGACTTCTGCTTTAAATAGCTCCCCAAGGTCACAGGCCCCTGGCCCTGGGAGACCAGCAGCCACCACTGAGTGTGAAAGACCCTTCTTCTTAGACCCAGGGAGAAGCACTTGAACTTCATCCAGAGGCAGACACCCCCTCCCCCCCCCCCACAAGACAAGCGGCAGTCCCAGCTAGCAGCCTCCCCGTGTTCGGCAGACACACAGCCCTCCTGCCACCTTCCCAGGCACAAGAATCAAATCATGGCCTTAGAAAGATGATTTTATTGCCAAAACAAAAGGGAGACCGGTAACGCAGACTCGGTTGCTGGGTGTCACAGAGAGAAGAACGGATTAAAATGGGGTCTCTGGGCGCAGCTTAGATACAGTGAAGGGAGGCTCATGGATTAGCACAGGGACATTTAACCAAACAACAAAACAAAGACAAGAACCTGATCACAACTAACTAGGCATTTCCCTCTCTACTCACGCGCCGTACGTCAGGGTCCGGTCCATGCCCCGCATGGCTTGGAGTTCTGCCTGGTTCAATTCATCTTGTTCCCCCAGCTCCTGCCTTAGAAACCTCACCCAAAGGAAACAGCCGGCAGCTTTATCCTCCCATTCAAATCTCGGCACCTTCCCCCATTGGCTCTCCTGGGCCCCACCAACACCCCCTAGCTCCCTGAGTTTAACCCTTTAGTCACCGAACGCTGGCCAGCCCTCCCTTCTCCTTCCCAGGCCTGGAGCCATTGGGGTCACGGGGCAGCCCCGGCAGGCGCGGTGCACGGCAGACAGGAGGTGATGGTGAAGCCAAACGTTGCATGAAGCATAGAGGCTGGAAGCAGATGGGTCTGGGGGAAGGAGCCGCAGGGGAAGGCTCAGTGAGGGGGATCTCTAAGTGCGTGGAACCCCTCCCAGCCAGCCAGCCCGGCAACAGTGCACACTGGGAACGTGCTGATGCTCCTGCAATGCCCTGGCCAGTGGGGTACATGTCCTTGGGCTGTGGCAGACGTGAGTGTGACAGACACGAGCTCTGTCGCTCACACTGCAAGGCCAGGACGTGCCTGGGGCAGGGCCCAGGTGGCAGCTGTCACACTTTCCACAGTGACGTGGACGTGGCCTTCGTGGCCCAACTCGGAGTCCCCTTCCACCAGCCCTGAAACCAGGTAACTCCTGAGGGGCAGGCAGACGCTGCAGGCGGCCAGTAGCACAACAGGGAATTGCCATGGCGAAAGGATCGACGGCTGCAAAGCCGGGGGGCGGGGGAGACCCTGACAGGACTGGGATGGGCCCAGCACCCAGCGGCGCTGCTGGGGGTTCAAAGTTCCCACTTCCAGCCACAGGGCTGGAGGCCGATTTTACCAGCTAGCGGGCCCGTCACTGGGAGCCCGGGGGGCCCAGCC